GAGCAGGGAGCCCGATGCGGGGCTCGATCCCAGGACCCCGGGATCACGACCTGAGCCGAAGGCAGACGCTTAACAACTGAGCCACCCAGGCGCCCTGGAGTTGTATTTTTAAGTCTGATTCTTTGCAATTCTTAAAGTAAGTCAGAGAGACTACTCAACAGATCTAAAAGTGTCCATCCCAGAGCTGTGCAAGGAAATCGTGTATTTTACTCTTTAAACTTTTACTCAGAACCTTATGGGCTCTTAACACCTAGCTCTCAGCAAATCCACACTTCCATTCAATCTCCCACCCCACAAGCCGATTGGAAGCTTCACATTCAAAAGAGAGGGATAAAAGAGTTCATCAGAGGAAGAAATAATAACAGAAGAAATGGAAAGTTACATTTGGCAAGTAATAGGAAAATAAGGTAGATGGAATCGTCACTTGTACGGCAAATATATCTTTATTCGTGTTGATGCTCATGAGCCTCATGAGAAGAATAAAATTTATGTTCAGTATTCTCTTTTTAAGAAAGCAGAGATTGGGGGGGCGCCTGGGTAGCTCAGTCGGTTAAGCATCCGACTCTTTGTCTCATTTCAGGTCTTGAGCTCAGGATTGTGTGTTCAAGCCCCATGTTGGGCTCCACACTGTGCATGGAGCCAGTTTAAAAAAAAAAAAAAGAAAGAAAGAGATAAGAGGAAATATGTTCTTACTTTTAAAAGTTTAGTTCCTAAAGAAATAGACCTTTTTAAAATTAACTCAGAGATGTGATTTGTTCTGCTAATGCCATATATATATATCTTGTGGGAGGTGCAGGGTGGGTAGGTCCCTAAATCAGTGTAAGTTAAATGTGCATAAACAAAGTGAAATTTTTACTTTTTCTTTTTTTTTTTTTTAAAGATTTTATTTATTTTTGTGGGAGAGAAAGAGAGATCATGAGCACAAGAGGTGGGGGAGAGGCAGAGGGAGAAGCAGACTCCCCGCTGAGGAGGGAGCCAGATGTGGGACCCAGTTCCAAGACTCTGGGATCATGAGCTGAGCCGAAGGCAGTTGCTTAACTAACTGAGCCACCCCAGCACCCTTTACTTTTATTTCATCAGTCTTTCCCATTTCTTTTGCCCTACAAGACCATTTAAACTACAGTATTTCTTGTTGTACTTTTGAGATCGTATCTCTAGTAGTAGTCCTAAGAATGGCACTGCTTTAAAAAAAAAAAAAAGTTCCAGAGAGTTGTGTTCAAAATAAATGGTCTTTTTCCTTTAATCTTACAGAGAACCTTCCGAGGCTCCAATCACTTTTGATGCAGATTCTTTTCTTAATTATTTTGACAAGATTTTAGGTAAGTTACAGTGTGATGTTTATTCTGATTCTGAAACTATAAGTAGCAAGGCTGTTGCTAGAGTACTAGAGCATTGGATCTCTTGGAAGTCAAAGTATTTGCTTTCTCTTAATGATTTTGACTTTCTTTCAACCATGAGCTTCTGCCCAGTTGAATGATTTTGCAGAGGATGCTTAGCTCAGTGCCTAACATAGTAGCTGCTCATTGAGTGTTGAATGAGTGAATGCTGTGTGGCTAGATATGGTTTTACCTTGGCTTCCATGTTACACTGTTTTTTCTCTTTTGACTTACTGTACTTAACCCTAATAATAAAAAGACAAATAGCCCAATTTAAAAAATCAACAAAGGATATAAACAGGCAATGCCTTGAAGAAGAAATACAGACAAATATCTGAAAATACTTGTTTCTAGTAAATAAATACACAATACAAAGTAATAACTTATTTTTTTTGCCCACCATATTGGCAAAGATTTAAAAGATTGACAATACCCAGTTTTCTCAAAGGGTTGAAGAAATGGGTACTGTCAAACTATGAGCGTGGAAGTTTAAGTTGTCTTTCACAGGGTGGTTTGGAACTCTAGAAAGTTTATAACCTTTGACTTAGTAATTTCACTTCCAAGAATTTTCTCTTTGAAAAGGACACATATGTGCTAAGATAGTGATTACAGCATTGTAGTAGCAAAAAATTGGAATGTCCTAAATGTCCATGGAGAAGGAAATGGCTAAATTATAGTACAATCATATTATGAAATATTGTGCAGTCTTAAGAAAGAATGAGATCCATCTACATGTTTTCACAAAGAAGGACTTCCAAGACCTAGAAATAAGTGGAAAAGCAAACCATGGTTCAGTGTGTGTGTGTGTGTGTGTGTGTGTGTGTGTGATATGTGTATGTGTGTAATACCCTTACGTTTTTATATATACGTAAAGAACTGCATAAAGGCCTGGGTACCCACCAAACTGTGAAAAGATGCTTAACTCTGGGAAGAGAGTGAGATGTGAGACAATAATAACTCCATATGGCTTGAATATTTATATCAAAGTATATCCATGTATTCTGTAGCTTTTAAATTTTAAGTAAAAAATTTTAGTTATTGAATTCATAGTAAAAAAAACTCTTTTTCAGATCAGTCTGTGTACTTTTCTGCAAATATCTGCCCACAGTACCATTTTCTGGAAGGGATTTTTATTAAGTAATTTACCTCTGTATATTTGTCATTTTCCGCAGATAATATTTAACTCTTTTGAGAGGTATAATCACTCAAGAAAAAATTACCATGTGGCTCTTTTTGTGTTGGGGTCTGTGTAGGTCCAAGTCCTCATGAATCAGACTCCGATGATCTGGATGAAGAAGACTTTGAATGTTTAGATAGTGATGATGACTTGGATCTTAAAACCCAGGAGACTGGGGAAGAAGCATCTGTAAGAGGAACTCTTAATAATCTCAAGTCATACATGGCCCAGATGGACCAGGAATTGGCACAGACCAGCATTGGCAAAAGTTTCACCACCCAGAAGCAAATGGTACGTGAGTGTTTAACCTCTTCCCCTATCTGAATATCTTAATATTATGAAGGAGAGCTAAAACTATATTTTATCTTAGTTTTTCTTTCTTTCCTTTTTTTGATGATGAATTTGATATTTTGATTTGAAATAAATAAGAATTTAAGATTGCTAATGTTTCCCTAAGGATTATTAACTTTGTTCTCCTAAATATGTTTAATTATATTACTTATTCTATGTTATCCATTAGGATTTAACATTAAAAGTCATGCAGTGTGGTCAGACTAGTTTGTGGTTGCATTCTACTACTAACAGCTTACATGGACTTTAAAAACAGAAAGGATCTTAAATATCCAAATAATTTTCAAGTCTTAATAGTGTTTGTTCTGTGTTTTCTTAATTTAGGACCAAATTAAGAATTCATCTTCCACTCATTTTTTTATCCTAGTTTTTATACCAGCAGTGTCTAACCTGGGCCTAAGAGACATTATGAAAGAGAGTGGACCCTGGAGCCTTGGGGATTAGGGTTTGAAATCCAGCTCAACCATCCGCTGTGAATATATATCCATTAACCAGTAATCCTTATGTTGTAGAATCAATATGAGAACTAAATGAGACAACAGTGAAATCCATAAGGCCCTTAATGAATGTTATTTACCTTGCTTTGATCATCTAAACCACATTTAAACTATAATCACTTCCAGTATTGCCCAAACCTAATAGAAACCAAGAAACAGTGTTAAATTTATCTAAAGCAGTGTTTCTAAAATATTAATATGTATATGAGCCATCTAAAGATCTAAGTAAAAGTGAAGTAAAAAAAAAGTAAAATATAGAAAATAAAATGTGGATTCTGGTTAAGTTGGTCTGGGGTGAAGCCTGAGATTTTACATGTCTAACAGGCTCCCAAGCAGTGTTGGGATCAGCATGCTGCTGATTCATGCACTGCACTTTGAATAGCAAAGATACTAAGGCCTATAACTCAAGCTACAGTCTTTCAAATCCTTTCCCAACCTGTGAAACCAGAGAGGTTCAAGTAACAATTCAGAATCTTTGTGGTTGGACTCCACAGAGCCTCAGGTTTTTAAAGTTTTTTCACTGGGGGATAAAAAGGAAATTAGTTTCTTTCATTTAGAGAAAAAATTAGATTCTCTCTTTTTAATGTTCATATTTGCGTATCTCTTTTAAAACTCTTAGGCAAGCTATAAATATGTCTCCTTAACTTTGGTTATCTCCCTTGGGCTATTTCAAAATGGGGAAGAAATCCAATTTATAGAAACTTTCCCTAGAAAGAAGTGTGTTAAAATCTTTGGAACCAAATTCTAATATGTGTGTTAAATTGTGAAGTTTATTAGACTTCATTTTTATTTTCTATCATTAAGGATAAGAAATTGCCTTTTTAATTTAGATTTCAGTTTTACATTATTGCTTAGTTTTTTTTGTAACTACCATCTAATCTAATGGCCTATTCCGTGATTTTGTTTTCTCTCCATAAATAAGGAACCTCTATCCCAGACTACCAATAATAATTCAGATGAGGAAGATTCTGGTGCAGGAGGATCTGTTATGACACCAGTGGATATAGACCTGAACCTGGTTTCAAATATACTGGAATCCTATAGTTCCCAAGCTGGACTGGCAGGACCTGCATCCAACCTTTTACAAAGCATGGGAGTACAGCTGCCTGATAACACTGATCACAGACCCACAAGTAAGCCAACGCAAGATTAGCCAGCACACCTAGCCTCTTTTTTTCTTCTTAAATAAATATTGAGTCTCACTGTGCTCATGTATAGTTTAGATGACTCATTTAGTAAAAATGTTTCTTCAGTACAAGTTTCACAGGCTAACTTCTCCTCTGTGAGCCCCAAATGTTGTCCACTCTGCATAAGTCTTTGTGATCTCAGCTGAGGTACATACAAGGTTTTGAAGTCAGCAGAAGAGAGAAAAATCAAGCCCCTGGACAGCCCCTGAGAGATTTACACACTCCGCGTTTAGAACATTAAGTTGATCTTTACTGAGGATTAAAGGAAGAGAAAGGAGGGTGATAGGCAAAAATGAGAAGTGAATGAGTTGCTTTTTTATTCCAGTTACCAGAAATGACCTTTAGCCAGGCTCACTCTGGTGACAAATACATTTGTTTTAATGTTTTACCTGTTTTTGCTCTTCTGCTTCACGGACTGAGTGGGCTCTTTTTATCCTTACCACCTTCATCACTCATTGCCACATGAATATTGTCCAGCCAGGTAGGCCCTGTACGAAAGTTCCTTTTATTTATCTGCCATTTTCAGTACCTCAGCCCTGCCCTCTTTTGCCTCAGCTTTCAGATATCCTTGGAGTTCTAAGAAGCAAAGCCCTCCTCCCACTCACTGCCAGGAAATAAAGTTCAGTGTCACAGCTCCTCTATTAGCCTCTCTCGTTTTTCTTTTCCAAATCAACACATTAATCCAAAAGCAAACAGTTACTCCATGGTAAGTTTGAGAAACTTAACATGAATCCTGCACACTCCCCTTTCTATCAGTATTTTCAGATTGGGGATGTGTACACAGGTGCTCACAAACACACCCACAGAGAGATAGAAAAGATTGGGAGATGGTAATACACATGGACCCTGAACTGTTTTCTTCTAACTGCAAGATATGAAGAAATCTCAGGACCTCCCTTTGGAGAGTGCTTTTCCCTTCTACATGCTGGGTTTAGTTCAGGTCAGGGCAAGCTGCCAACCTAACAGGACAATCAAGTCCCATCACATACTATCCCTCAACATTTCCTGATGAAGGCACTTTGATTTCCCCAAAGTACTGATGATTTGCCGGCAACGGCAAAAGCAACGACCTTTTGGGATCAAAGGGAAATTCAGCACTTCATCTTGTCTAGTTCTAGAATCTAGTAGACTTTAATGTGTGAATAATCTTAGTATCTCTAGCACTTGAGTCTTTTATCACAAATTAGTGCCTGAAATCATCTGAAGATACAACTCTTTCCCGGCCATTCCTATTTTCAAACAGACTTCTAACAATTTTTCTTCTGCACATTGCTTCAGTTTTTCCACACTTGGGACCTGGGCTTCAATGCTTATCATACAAATAGATTCCTTTTCTCCCTCCCTACTCCCTGCCCCAGATTCTTACTTTCTACTATTTCCTCACTTCATAAGACAGAAAAATACATCTGAACAAAGGTGTGGAAATTTATTTTATTTCCTCCAGATAAATTCTCCCTTATGACAAAGTATAGAATGACATACATGAATGATGAGCAATCCTAAATTTAGTTTATCCCATAAAACAAGAAATGGTTCACCCTCACTACTCCCTTAGCTGAAGTTACAACTTACAGTATGCAAATGGCAGTGACCATTTTATATTTAGGAAATCAGACATGGTAAAGTGATCATCTTTTCCTTGGGTCACAAGCTGAGCAAGTAACGGCAAAAGACTTAGCTCTCTTAAGCCCCACTGGGATGCAATTACCCCAGCAGAACATCACTGCATCTGATTTATTACAGGGTACTCTGAGGAAGACCTTGGCTCCCACTTTCTTCATCCCTTCAGATGACTTAAAGAAATAAGGCTTTTATTTAAATACCATGTACAAAATACCTGTACATGAATTTTTTAATGTTATATTGTGCCATTTTTCTTAATTCTATGAGGATGAAAGGTAACTCAGTAGTGGGTTGAGATTTGCTATGTATCTTCAATACTAAGATAAAATTAAAATTATACCAGGCATTTTTGCAGTTAGTGTAAACCCAGCATTAATGAGATACATGCCAAAAGATGTTTGCTTCCAAGACCTCAGTGAAAATGGGTGCATGGGGGCCTATATCCAAACTAATGCTTCAGACTTCCCTCTGATTTTGACAATCGTCATTATCTGTTTGGCATTTTGATTGCCTATGAACAGGAACCTCCTTTCACTGCTATTAGAGGCATCCTGCTGTAGGGTCACCTCCCGCTCTGCCTTAGTATGAAGTTGGAGATGGCCTTTGGTCACCTCCCTTTTATCAACTGATCTCTTTTATGCCCCTCCAGGATACTGAGAAGGGATCTAGGTGGCTCAATCTGAGCTAAGCGGGCAGGGTAGAGCAGGGCGGCTTTTCCACCCACTCCTTAATCAGTTGGTGGGCAATGGCTAACTTAGGGGGCAACCAGAATGTCCCATACTGTTGCTGAGTATATGGATTGTTTTTCCTCAGGGCTGTGGCTACCTCATCATGACTGAACCAGCCAGCTGCCTCTAGTTCTTTCAAGTTCACCTGGATCTAAAAGACATAAAGAAAAACAGAATGTAAGGTTAGGAGCTACAAAATTTAGAATACTCTGGCCACAGGTGAGAAAATGTTCCCAGAACTGAGCAATACCTGGGATCTACAGGCTGGGAGATAATCAGTTTTAGATATTGTGCAGAAGCAAAAGAGGCATAATTAAAAGGTGAGAGTTAAATATATTTTTTTAAACAGTGTAAAAGAAAAAAGTGCCTTTTAAAAATCTTGGAAGCACAAATACTGAAATACTAAAGAGTGGTTAACAGAGAGGTGTAATATATAAATAATTCTTGATTAACTTTCAATTTAAAAAGAACATAAAATTACTCTTCTCTAAGGGATAAGGGATTATTAATGATTATCAAAGGCATAGTATCTTCTTTGCTATGCCTTTGATATATAATCAATGTGCAATGCACATTGTATCCGCAGGAAGCTGAGACAGATGAGATATTATTAATTCTATGCAAACCAAAACACAATAGACTTTGGCAGGTAGGGACCACAATGCCATCTATCAGGATGCTGTAGAAGAGCAAGATGAGGCTGGATAAGACAACATCTAAATCCCTTTCAACCAGAAGTTCCTATGATTTTATATAATTGGTCCCCAACATCCTAACAGACTTGAACAATAAGACCAACCCTGAAATCAGTCCTTTAATTTGATATATTTATTGTGTGCCTACTCTGTATAAGATGCTCTGTTAAGTCCTGCTGAAAAATAAATTGTCACATGACTGAAATACATACAAAGAAGAATGGTAATTGTGCGGATGCTCTGAATTTTCATGGAGATTGCTTCCTTTATAAGACTGCAAACTCCTTAAGGGAACAAATCCTACGTTACACATCTTTGTATAACGTAGACAATGCTGGACTAGAAAGGTGCCTACTGACCATTGTGGGTGAAGCAAAGGAAATATCACAGCCTAAGGAAGCATCAGAACTTACCTCTGTCTGCCCTGGTTGCACAGTTGCATGACAAGCAATCATGAGTGAGCTATTAGGAAAGGGCCAGTGCTGGGATGCAGAGTACTGCAGTCTTTCCACCTCCAATCCCACCTCTTCTGCAACTTCTCTCCTGACAGCCTCTTCCAGACTTTCACCTATAAGCACTCAGATTAATTCAGGACAGCCTTGCAGCAGGAAGGGTGATACAGATGCCCATTTGTGAAAGGAGCCCAAAACTGGCTCCAAAGTCTCAATTAAGTATTCTTGGGAGAGCCCTAAATCCCTGAGTTCTACAGCAACAGGACTCAAGTCTGGAGTTGGGTGCTGAACTACAATACTTATACTAGTTAATTAGTGAGAATGCAAAATAAGAGTGACAGGCTACTGCTGTTCTCAGCTTTAATAAAATTCTAATGCCATGTTTGACCTTTTGCAAATTTTACCCCAATAGACTGAGAAAAAAACAACCTGTAAATATCTATTGAATTCTAATTAATACAATGCACGCTGAAATATTTAGGGAGAAGTGTACTAATGTCTGCAAACTATGTATCAAAGAATAAAATGGATTGGTGGATGGATAGAATGGGTAGATATGTGATAAAGGAAATGAAGAAAACAATTGTAGGATCTAGGTGGTAAGTGTATGGGTGAGTATTAACTGTATAATTTTTTCAGGTATGCCATATCTTTGAAAACTTGCCTAATATTGGAAAATTATAATGCCAGAAGGCTATTTTCTTGACTTGACAGGGAACAGTGTGCTTGAGACTCCAAGCATAAAAGCAACAAGACAAAGAAATACCTACTATTGTTAAACTTTTGTGTCCTCCAGTCATCTGTACATTCCCTAAACTTCTTACCTATATCACAAAAACCTGCCAAGGCAGAATACATTCCCTTGGGAAAGGAACTCTGGCGGGCAAGCAGGCATCGAGTCCCATCTGACACCAGAGTAATCACCACAGGAGCCATCTAGGAAAAGGGGACGGAAGACTTAGACATTAGGGTTTGGGGCCTGTTAATGGATGAAGGAATGGATAACTAAGGAAAGCCTTTTAACTGTACAGGCTTCTGTCCCCAGGACAGGCTAGCACAGTCTTCTTGGATTACTGTCCTTTTAAAGTAGTGCTTACCTGTGGATAATAGATAATCTTACTGGAAGGGCACACACGCTTGCTGCCAGCCATATTCTTCTTGGTGGGCTGCCCGCTTCTGCTACAGAACTGATGAGCATCATGCCAACGGAGAAGAGCCTGAGCCTAGGAATACAAAGATAGGCTGATTTCATTTGGAGAGAATGTGAAGCTCATCTATAATAGTGCTGGCCTAGTATTTAGAGCAACTCAAAGGGAAATGCCAATCCCTTTCCAGCTCACCTACTTTAAATGGTTATTAACTGTTTGAACTTTAAAATAAGGAAACTATCTGGAAATACTCCTCTAGCATCTGAAATATGAATAAGAGAAAGTATTATCATTCATTTAAAATACATATATAAACTATTATAATGAATGGCCCATGTACTTAGGACCCAACTTAAAAATAAGATATTTCCAATGTAGTGTAACGCCCCAAGAGGTATTCCTCCCCAGTAAAGATGGAATTTTTTTGCAAATAAAAATGTTTAGAGATGTCTTTTTAAGTAAAATGAACAACCAAAAGCACTTTAACAAGTGAAGTCTAAAGCTGTGAGGAGAAGTCATTAAAGCAATACAAAGTAATTTTTCATAGGAGTAACATAATGGTATGTTATGCTATGGGTCATTAAAAATATCAGGAGGCTGATAGATCTGCATTTCTTTAGGAGAAAATGGTCCTGCCAATAATAAGGGCAAAAGAAAGAAGAATAAGCAATCTCCCTACAGCAACTTGTCCTTCTGCCAAGGTTTGTAGGAAGGACTGTGATCTATTCAAGAAGAAACCAAATGTCATTCTAGCCTTGTGCATGCATGCATGTATTCACCCATAAACATTGCTTTACCAAATTTCCTACAGAACTAAGAAGTCAGAATCTACCATGGTCAGCAAGGAGGCATCCTTTGTATTCAGCTGAAAGAGAGCCTTCCTCAGCTCAGTGAAAGAGCCCTTAAGCTCTGTCTCCATTTCTGGTTTCTCTAAGGAAGCTAGAAAATGAGAACAGAGGATAAAATGAAACAAACACCAAACTTTGCCTTAGGGCCCCTCTCAAGTATGCCTATTAAAGCAGTGTTTCCCAAACTCGCCTGATAATACTTTATTAGGGAAAATAAAAAATATACAGGTTCTCAAGCCCCTACCTGGAGATTCTGAACAGCAGGTGAGTAAGGCCCCGAAATCTTTATTTTTAAACAAGCACTGGGTGATTTCTTATATTCAGGCAAATTTGCGAAACATCAGAGCATAGTATTTCTCAAGATCCTCTTCAGAGTAATAAGAATATTTGCACTAACCACACACTCTCCCTGGAAAAGAGGTAAAATGGCACCTCTAAGCTCCTATCTGCACTGCATTCCAGCATCATTACATTTACAACCAGACCTGGAAGGAGAGAAGGAAAGCCTAGTAGGAACCATGAACCTTATACCAAACTGGTTCCCAAATGCAGGTCTGAAGACCCTGAGCATGGTAACATGTTTAGTTAGTCACCTGAGATAAGAATGATGTCATGAATTTTAAAACATTTAAGAAATATAAAATGTATTAAGGTACAGAGAATAAAACAAACATCTGTGTACCTACCACCAAGCTTAGAAAGTATTAAAATATTCTTTATCTTTTAAATGATGATGACAGTAGATGGGTAATATTTTTTTGGTCCTAACTTAAAAAAAAAAACAAAACAAGGTTGATAACCTTTGGTATTCACAAATTTTTTTTTGAAATTTTACTATTACATGAAATCCCTAAGTCTGAGCACCACTGGGAAGTACCCATTAGAAATAATGTTCTATACCATTTATGGAAGAGGAGCTGTTTAGACCTAGATCCAGAGCAAACCATGCTTCATGCTGTTCAGAGCATCCAATCAGCACAGAGTCTTCTATTCTTTGTGTGTCCTGTCCAAACTCTGCCAGGAGCCTTTCCAACTCTAAGAAACAGAAAAGGAGAAGGGACGAAAACAACGGTTTTTCATTAAATCACCACAGTCTTATTAACCTAGGAAATCATCTACTTCAGCTTGAAGTAGGTATACCTGCTTCTAGCCACTGCCCTGCAGCTAATTAGCTATGTGATCTTGGTCTAATCACTTAGCCTCTCTAGGCCTCCATCTTCCCATGAGCAATCTGAAGTGTTTAGACTAAAGAAGGAATTCTTGCTGTGTACCACCGTATTCTGTGATTGTATCATGAAAGGAGAATATCCCCTAGTTCAAAAGATACATGACAGTTAATGTATTATGGTGCTGGAAAAAAAAAAAAGTGTATGCTTAAAATGCTAGAGACCAAATCAGTTACATACAATGTAGTCTCCAGATTATGCTGGGGGTCTGGTCTAGGGTAGACTATTCATCCAAGATCCCAGTCTGTATAAGACAAGTGCTGTATAGGGAGAAAATCTGTCCTCCTGTGCGTGAAGGACATATTTGTTCATAATACAACATAACATTGCCTTCTGATGGCATCCTGATATTCTTTTGCACTGCTAGAAACTACCTATCCAAGTACTCAACCTCTGACCCATGGAGGAAATTCACTGGCTTTGTATTTAGAAGTAAGTCAGTGTATAGTGACATCATATAAAACTGAAAGTTAGTACCTTGATTGCTTAGATATGTCTATTTACATACCCTTAAAGAGTTCTTAAAACATTATTTTTAATTCACTTTTAAGTTTTGACCCTTCTAGAAGAAATGAAGTCATGATGCAAATCTCAATAGTAGAAGAGTACGCAATTCCACAGGGCTGGAAATCACTGGTTTAAGCAGGGTTTGGCAAAATATTTTAGGCTTTGTGAGCCACGTGGCTCTCTGTCACAACCACTCTGCTCTGCCACTGTAGTGCGAAAACAGCCATAGACAATATGTAAATGAATGAGCCTGGCTGTGTTCCAGTATTTACAGAACAAGCAGTGGGTTCCAATTTGGACAGCAGTTTCACTGACCCCTAGTTTAAGGCAATAGTGGTTCATACCACTACTAAATAATATTTGGGCAACTCAGGTTTATACACTAAATAATTAATTGGTAGAAATAGTTTGAAAAACCTGGACTCTAAAATTGAAGGATCCTTCTCAGGGATTTGATATGGATGAAATTCATTCATGGCCACAGGCTGGTCTACAGTACTGCTGGTCCTCTTTGGGCTTACCTAGTAGGCTATGCCTGGGGGCCTGGTATTGGTGTCCCGATTTCTGAAGCAAAGGAGCCAGGCTATGAAAGAGATAAAATGCTCCTGTCTGCTGGGCTTTTTTACATGCATCATCATCTTCCTTCAGTTCAAATAAATACCTGTATTTTGGAAATAAAGCATTATTAAAACCACACTTAGTTACTTGTACAGCATTCATCTTTCAGAATTTGGTCCTTGCATCCCTCTCCTATCACAGTTATTTCCTTTTATTTATATCCTAAACTGCTCTTTCCCCTGAAAGACTAGGATCTCCTTTAGGGCAGGGTCAGCCTTAGTTCTGTATCTCTAGTAATTAGCATATTGAATGGCTCGATTCAATAAATATTTATTGAATTGAACTCCAAGGGTAATAAATATTTACTGAATTGAACCTCAAGGTACTTTGCCAATATTACACTGTGAGGCAAGAATTTACATGCAGTGGAGTGAAAGGAAAACAAGTACAGTGAGGAAACATCAACCACAGAATACCGAGGAATGGGAGCAGACTTTATTATTGTAGACAGAGAGCCAACACCATACCTTAACTCTCTTTCAATCTAGGGAGATAAAGAGCTGTTATCTTTAGTGCATTCGTGCTTCCAACACCTAGTCCTTGAAGTGGACACCATTAGCTCCTTATCTCTACCAGAGACCACTGATGGGAAAGTGAAACCTATACTTGACCTACGCTTATTTAATAAGTGTAATATCTTCAATAGCCAAAATACAAATGTGGAAAAAGACAACATCCTATCATTAGTTTCTCCAGAAGAAATAGTACTGGATCCAGATCTAGGCTTTTCAATCACCTTCATTAAAGATTACCTAAGTTTATCCCTTCAAGAGCCTTGGAAATTGGGTCAGGGTCCACATGATTCAGGGGGTACTGAATGTAGATTCTCCTTCTGAAGCCTTAGGGATAACCATTTTTGCCTATTAAAAGCCCTAAACAGACTCAGATTTATGGCAGATTTTGTCATGAGGTAGGCAACACAGTTTATGGATATTTCCTGTAGGATCTGGGAGCTTTTGTAACACTAACAGAGTTGGTTCAACATAAAACTACAAAGCAAAATGATAAATGTGCCCCAGTGGCATCTTTAGGAACCTATTTTTGACTATATGATAAAAGGGGTTACAATGAGCTCTTCATAAACACAAGACCAAAGAAACCTGAGATTTTAATACTCATGGTATTTTTAAACTTATTATAAGTGACTCACTTCCTGGGGCAAAGACTTAATTCATGTCAAAGGAGAGACATGTGCCACTCAGAAGTTACCAAATATAAACAATAGAACAAACACCGCTGCCTTCCTAAAAGAACAGTAAGAGTGGTACAACCTGTGCTTTGCCCTAATGACCCTAAAAAGCACAACACCTACATAAACACCCAGGTCTTAAATCTGGGGCCGAACTGGAACTGGAACGGAGATCCAAAAAATTCCTTACATTTTCCTTCTCGATCAGGAACACTAATTTGAAAAATTAATTTTCCCCCTTTAATTATAATAGCACAGAAACAACACTAAGATTATCAGACATAAACTTATTTTCCTATTTATAAAAATAAAAAGTCATCCCATAAAAGTCAGAAAATACAGTTAGCAATTTGTTCAAAAAAGGGAAATCAAGAATCTCACCATTCAGAGATTATCACTGTTTACACCTGGGAATTCTTCAAACTATTTATTGGTATCTGTATATAGATAGGTATATTAAGAATCATACCTATTAAGTTGTAGCCTTTTTTTCTTTAACATTCTTTTCATGCCATGTTCTTTATTGATAGAATTTCATTCTCTCATGACTTTTTACTCATTTTAAAATCACTTTAACAGGTGTGCCTGGGTGGCTCAGATGGTTAAGCGTCTGCCTTCAGCTCAGGGCATGATCTCAGGGTCCTGGGATCGAGCCCCATATCAGGCTCCTGGCTCAGCGAGGAGTCTGCTTCTCCCTCTCCCTCCGCCTCTCTCCCTTGCTCATATTCCCTCTCTCTCTCTCTCTGTCACATGAATTTAAAAAAAAAATTTAAAATCACTTTAACAGTCATTTTTAGACCATTCAATAATTGTTCAATAATTCAATTATTGTTCTCAGAGTCTCAGCCTGAGCACTGCAAATAACCTACAATAATTTAAGTACTGCAATTTTCTTTTCTCACTCTCGTTCATGTAATATTGTATGCTTACGTGCCTTTAAATTCTGGACTGGGCACTCATGTTTGGCAGAGCTTTTCATTTAGGAAGCCCTGGTTATGAGTGTTATCTCTTCAGAGGAGTTTTACCTTGCTTCTGCAAGGTGCCCAGGGGTCTTATAAGTCTACGACTACTACTTATATTCTTTTCTTAGGTTGGGGTTTGGGGACCATAACACAGATGGTGCAAGTTTAAACCCCAAAACTATGAGAACAGGCTAGTGATTTCAAATTCACAGATTTCAAATTTGCCCAGGCTGTGACAAAGAAGTCCTTTACCATCTTCCTGTACTGGTGTAGGTTTTTTTTTTCTCCTGGTCTACCTTTAACTGGTAGTTTAGTTCTTTCTTAGAGGTGAGAGGTGAGGGAATTAGAATTATCTACCTTTTTTTCAGGAAACTTCATGAATATTATTATTCAGTATAGTTTTTAATTCCATCATAGGGGTATACCATCATTAATTTCTCCCTTCTTGTTCATTCATCCATTCAACAATCCTTCAGTGCCTACTATGCGCCGGGTATTGTTTTATGCACGAGGGGTACCATACTGGGAAAGACAAAGTTCTTATCTTAATAGAACTTAATATTTAAGTATGTCAGACATTTTAGGTAATATTGGAAATTTATTTATAATTTTTCCAATTATAAATAATTTGCAATGACTATCCTTATATGTAAATCTTAATCATGTATCCTTAATCCTCAATGTAGGATTTTGAGATATTTATATTTTATAATTTAATGGGCCAAAGAGAGAATAATCAGAGCTCAGGTTGGTCACAACTCACCGGGTCTTAGTGACATAAGTTGACAGCAGCCTAAAGTACCAAAAAGATTTTCTCCTGCAACCAATTCCACAATACAGGGACATTGTCAGGTCCTTAGAGAAAAGAGGAGTTAAAAAAAAAAGTCATAGTATGCAATTTAAAGTAATGAATCACCAAGAGGTGATATACTTTACGCCAGGATAGGATTACTTTTTAATATTAAGGAAAGAAACTGAATAGGAGTCAGATGATCTGGCTTCTAAATTGCATTTGTGCCACTAACTAGCTGTGGGATTTCAACTTTTTAGTACCTCTTTTCTAATCTACAAAATTGCAACCTGTTCTGCCTACCTAATAGGTTATTGTGAGACTCTATTATCTACAAAAAAATATGTTCCTCCTTCCATATTGTAGAATTGTTGCTAGAAGTTAGCTGCTAAGCCACAATTTACATTTCTCTTCTTATATCTAAGCAGTGACAAAAGTAGTTCTTAACAATGGAATGTGAGTGGAAGTGATGTATATCTCTTCCAGGCTGAAGCAGCTAAGAAGTGGGTATGCCTAGGGTGTGCCCAGGTGGCTCAGTTGGTTGAGCATCCGACTCTTGGTTTCATCTCAGGTCCTGATCTCAGGGTGATAGGATCAAGCCCCGCACTGGGCTCCACCATCGGCTTGGAGTCTGCTTCAGATTCTCTCTCTCCCTCTCTCTCTGCCCCTCCCCCCATTCGCATGTGTGCACACTCTCTCTCTCTCTCAAATAAATAAATAAATCTTTTTTAAAAAATTTTATTTATTTATTTGAGAGAGAGAATGAGATAGAGCATGAGAGGGTCAGAGGGAGAAGCAGACTCCCCGCTGAGCAGGGAGCCCAATGCGGGACTGGATCCCGGGACTCCAGGATCATGACCTGAGCCGAAGGCAGTTGCTTAACCAACTGAGCCACCCAGGCGCCCCTAAATAAATAAATCTTTAAATAATTAAAAAATAAGGGGTACCTGGGTGGCTCAGTTGTTAAGCGTCTGCCTTCGGCTCAGGTCATGGTCCCCGGGTCCTGAGATCGAGCCCCTCATCGGGCTCTCTGCTCAGTGGGAGGCCTGCTTCTCCCTCTCCCACTCCCCCTGCTTGTGTTCCCTCTCTTGCTGTGTCTCTCTCTGTCAAATAAATTAAAAAAAAATCTTTAAAAAATTTTTTTAAATAAAAAAAAGAAGTGGGTATGCCTTCATCCTCTTTCCTCCTTCTGCTTGGAAGACTCTGGAATGCAGAGTCATTAGATAGAGAAGCCTGGATCCTTGAATCACAGCATGGAGAAAAGCCACCTGCCAACCAAAGGACCCCCCCCAACACACACTTTGGACGATTTATGAGTGAGAAATAAACTTCTACCATATTAAGCAACTGAACTTTTGAAGTTTGTTCCAGCAGCTAGCATTGCTCTAAGACCAGGTAAGACTGGGAATGTCTCCAGAGTAATGGAGAATGTATGAAAGCCAAAGTCCCTCTGAGAATGAAGTAAGAGGAATCCTATAGATAAGAAAAATACAAAAATCATGGCCATTAAGAAAATATTTCAAAAGGCAGCTATGCAAATCTACATGAATCTAAGATATTTTCTATTTTGTGTATTCCATTGTGAGAGAAAAAAAATTCTGTATCTTACGAATCCATTCTGCAGGTAATTCCTTTTAAATTGTATATCAATAAGTATTTGATTCCCCATGAAAAGTACATTTCACACTGGCAATAAAAGTCAAGAAGTTGCACTGAAATGAGAAAATCAGTACAGTTAAATAACCAAAGCAAGCTTTGATACTAAACAAATCACTGAGGAACATCTAAAGTTTAGGCTTACTTCTTGGTTGCATAATTATGAATCACTGATGACTAATCCTTGGACAGTTTTGGCTACAATCTATGTCCTAGCCAAGGGTAAAATATATTTAGCAAAGACATTCAACAAAAAGTGTTTACTGAAAACTGACTTTATGCAAGGTCCTTTAAGGAACACAGAAATGTACTGATGAAAAACCTACGGTCAAGGGACTCTAGTAGGAGAGAGAAAACAAACATAGCTTTCCCAGAAGGGAACATGTGATATGTGGGTACAACGCACTCTAGGAGAGTATTAAAAGACTTGTGTGATATATTGGAAGAAATATATTTCTTGTATATGGGTATGTCATATGTATATGTCTCATGTACAAACTCTGAGAATGCAAATTGGTACAATATTTTTGGGTGGCAATTTCGGAATATCTATTGAAATGTTAAATAAACATCCCTTTCACCTAGCAATTCCATTTCTATGAATTTATCCTAAGAAGGAAAGGATATGTATAGGAACGTTAACTGAAAGGTATGATAAAGGGGAATAATATACAGCTCTTAAAAATAAATAGAAGAGGGGCACCTGGGTGGTTCAGTTAGTTAAGCATCTGACTCTTGGTTTTGGCTCAGGTCATGGTCTCAGGGTCCTGGGATCGAGCCCCACATTGGGCTCTGCGCTCATCAAGGAGTCTGCTTGTGATTCTCTCTTTCCCTCTCTCTCGGCCCCTCCCCCCTACTCTCTCTCTCTCAAATAAATAAAATCTTTAAATAAATACAAGATAACAGTGGAAACATTCATATATAGTAACAGGGAAAGATATTCACAATATATGTTTAAGTAAGAAAAGCAAGTAATATTTGGTTGGTTTACCGTGATCTAATTAATTTATAAAGGAAAGGACATAGGGGAGCCTGGGTGGCTTAGTGGGTTAAGCATCCGACTCTTGATTTCAGCTCAGGTCATGATCTCAGGGTTGTGGGATCGAGTCCTGCGTCGGTCTCTGTACTAGGCGTGGAGCCTGCTTAAGATTCTCTCTCACCCTCTCCCTCTGTCCCTGCCTGCCCCCACTTCTCTCCCTCTCTAAAAAAAAGAAAAGAAGGGCGCCTGGGTGGCTCAGTTGGTTAAGCGACTGCCTTCAGCTCAGGTCATGATCCTGGAGTCCCAGGATCGAGTCCCACATTGGGCTCCCCGCTCAGTGGGGCGTCTGCTTCTCCCTCTGACCCTCTCCCCTCTCATGCTCTCTCTCATTCTCTCTCTCTCAAATAAATAAAATCTTTAAAAAAAATAAAAAATAATAAAAAAATAATAAAAAAAAGAAAAGAAAAAGAAAAGGACATGTACATATCAGTAAACATAAATTAGATATGTATCTATTTGTATTTTTAAAGTGACTAGAAGTACACATAACATATCAACAGGAGTACCTCAGCACATTCCCAGGGAGCCAAAAGGAATTCTTTTGGTGAGTTCCTTGAATCCTGAGAGCCAAGAGCTGTTTGGTTGAGCTATAAGTACCAACTAATCTGTGTGGCCCACTGTACTTGGCTGCCTGATGCTTTGCCTAGTTTCTGTTACGAAATTAACCTTAGCCAGTTGTGGATTATCATGGTCTGCTGACTCATGGGATGGTCACAGAGCTTATAAAAAACAAAGTCAAGTTCTTAATGTAACTTTGAAAAAATACTAACAATCAAGAGGAAAACCAGACTTATTTCAACTGAGAACTGCACCTTCATTGGTACAGTCATAAACCTAGTAGATAAAAATTAAGTCTAATTCCTTTTCTAAATGGTCCCTTGTATATTTTTTATACACATCTTATATAAAAACAGTATAGAGATTATTGAAAAGTCAAAGAAGAGAAAACGATTTCCTTAAAAATCTGCTTTAACTATATTTTTCTCTTTTAAATAGATCGTTAAAATTATAAAATTAACATAATTACATTACAGGACATCTAGAAAAGAGAATTATGAGGGTGTCCATAATATGGCCACATAAATATAACTTATGTATTTTCTAATCTTTTTACACATACAACTTCTACATATTTGTAATCAGAGGACACATTTTTGTCAACTTGCTTTCATGAAACACATCACAAGCAGTTTTCCATGTTTTTGAATAAGCTATATAATTTTTTTTAGCTGCAAAATACTACATTCGGGTAGACTCATCCTTATTTTGCTAAACATTCCCCTGATTTTAGACATTTAGGTTGCTCTGATTTTAAATTACCAGAAATAAGATACCACTAAATACCTGTGTGCTGATATTTTTGGGTTAAGTTTCCCAAAGTAGAATTACTGGGATAAAATTTAGTTTAAAATCATATGGCTCCTTCTACACATTGCCACACTTACAAGATTCAGTAGTGTCTGGTTTAAAAAAAAAAGAACTTTCATTTTATAGTTTTTTTATAACTACCAAGATTGAAAGTGTTTTGAGATTTAATAGTTCTAGTTCCCCTTTTGCAAACTGTTTGATGTCCTGTGCTCGTTTATTTACTGTGGTTTTGACTATTCTAGATTTTAGAATATTATAGTACATTTCCAGCATTTTCCATAATATGATCATAGAAACACATTATAAGAACCAACTGCTATATGTGTTGCTTTTCTTTGTGTACCTCAGTACAAAAAAAAAAAGGTCTTTTAACAATGAGGATATGTGAAATTACTTTTAGAATGAAAATATAATTTCTTATAACTCCATTACTATTTAGAAATCTAATGCAGGGAAAATTTACTTATTTCTAAATAGTTTGTGATTTTTTACTCTTTTAGGGGTCTTCAGTGCGATGTTTTATTCAAAGTGTATTGGCTCAAGGGCTTACCTTTAGTAAACATGCTGCAAAACAACTGGTAAACCTGCCATGATACTCAAATCCACATTACAAACAGAATTGTTTTTGTTTGGATTGGCAAGTATTATGGTATTTTATTCCTGATGGCATTCTGGGGATAAAAGTTCACTATTCACGAAATAAGTTTTGGAAGAAAATACTAGCACTGTTATTTTACGTTAGATGACAAGCCCAGGACTGCCTTCTGTTTTATTTACAGTGTCTGTGCGTATCTCCAAACTGAGGAAGGAACAGGCAAGTAAGCACTGAAGAGACTCCGGACTTTTATTCTGGGCTCTCCCACTGACTGAATTTGTGATCTATAGCTGTCACCTAACTCGTAGGAGCTTGGTTTCTGTCTCACTTCTCACAGGGGAAGGAAGGAGAGAAAATGGATCTAAAGTGTATTACAACCATGTCAGGTTTTCACATACCCAATTCTCAGATCTGTTAGACTGTACAATCCTCAAGGGTTGGGATTGTATCTTCCCCTACCTATAGCACCTAGCATTGTCTCTATCACAATGTAAAACACAATATAGATAGGTGAATGAATGAATGAATGAATGAATTTATCCCATTTTACAAGTGAGGAAGATAAAGCTTTAACTAATCTGAAATCACAATTTAGATAGCAGCAGTTTCAAACCCAGGGCTATCTGGCTCCAAAACTCATGTGTTGATGAGAAATACATGGGAAAGCATTTTTCAACATTCATTTATGATTATGTATTTTAAAAGTACAAAGACTGATAGAGATGAAAGATAATATTATTTTTACCAAAAACTATTCAATGAAGAGGCAAGGCTGTTAAGATTAACAATTTCTCTCAAGCCCCTGTAATAAGTAATTCCCACATTTCTCATCCTGTTCATTTTAACAGAAGAAAGATTACTTTGTAAAATACTACAGCATGAAGAAAAGGCCCATCTCGAATCTCTGTGGTTATTTCTACCAAGAAGTTTGGTAGTGTTTGAGAGAGCCCTTTTCAGTTCTATTCATTACTGTGGACCTCAATGGAATGAGGAAATATGCAAAACTGAGGAGCCACAGAATACAGATTTCAAGGTCTCACTAAGTAGCTTTATGGTTTGCTTTCTAAAAAATGTTTCCTCCCTCAATTAAAAAATAATGCAGGCACAACACAGAAAAGTAGGCAAATTCTATTTTTAAATGACTCTCCAAGAAAGTTCCAGAAAAATATTAGCTTTAGTTAAAAGGATAGTTCCTTAAGTTATGATGCAAAACTGTGGCCATTGCCTGGTTTCTGCAAGAAGGAAAAGACTAAGCTAAAATCACAAAATGCTGTGACCAAGAGCTTTTTTCAAGTTTTGACTATGCCTTCCCAAAAAATCCCTCCTGGGCTTAGAACCTCAACAGTTTTCTGTTCCGCTGTACTCACTCTGAATTCTGTTGGGGGAGGGTGCCTTCCTAGGCCTCAAAAATCAGCAGAAACCAGGGAACTCCGAAGGTTCCTGGGAAGTAGGGCTTCCCTTTCCTAGAGGGACCATTGCGGCCTCTGCCACACTTCCCAGAATCCCCTAGAGATGCACTCTGGGAAATGTAGTTCTGGTTTCATGCTGGCTGTTAAGTCCTCCAAAGTTAACCATGGTTGTAAGCATGCTTTTGCCACACTTCCCAGAATTCACCTAGAGATGCACTCTGGGAATTGTAGTTTAATCCAGAGGCATGCTGCTATCCGCTCCAACAGCAAAGTTAACCGTGAGTGTCAAAAAGCATGATCTAAGATCTTCTAAATCCATTACCAGAAAAACTACCGACCTTGTCTCTGAAGAAGCAGTAGATTCACTTTTGAATAACAAAAAGGTAGTCATTAAACCCATCCTAGTACACAGAAGGCATATTTTCTGGGGGAGGAAAAGAGTGTTGGGGCAGGAACTCAGATAACTTTCAACCTTTCTGTCTCTGTATGCCCACTTTAGAACTAGTTCTAACATTTCATGAATTCTGCCAATTTAAAAGGACCAGACGGTGTCTAAATGTGTGTGAGCTTATGTTAGAATGCATCCCTTGATCAACCGTGGCAGGATTCCTTAGGACTGAAAGCAGTCTAGCAAAACTGCTTTGGTTCTGCTCTTTTCTTACTTTATAGGAGAAGACAGTTTTGAAGCACCTTCATTCAACGTGTATTTAATGAATACCAAATGTACCTGGGACTGTTAATAGGCACCAGATACAGCAGGGGAAAAAAACATGAAAATTTCTGTCTTCGTGCAACTTACATTCTAAAGGAAAAACAAACAAATATACACTGTGTCTGGTTATAAGTGCTGAGGAGAAAAATAAAGCAAGGTAAGAGGAGGGAGGATTTTGCTATTTTATATAGGGTGGCTAGCCTCATTGTAAAGGTGATATTTGAGCAAAGACAGTGGAAGAGTTAAGGAAGGAAACCAAGTGGAAATCTATGCGAAGAGATTTGTAGACAGGAGAAAACCAGCAGATGCGAAGGTCCTGGGGAGGAAGCATAACTGGCAGGTCTGAGGAAAGCCTAGGACAAAGCATGATGGTCAGAGATGAGGTCAAAGAGTAGCCAAGTATCAGATCACATAGGACTTCACAAATCTTACAATTCTTAGAGAGCCATTGTAATCCTTTTGGTTTTTAGTCTGAGAGGGATGGGATGTTACAGAAGAATTTGAGCAAGAGAATGAGATGATTTGACTTACATTGTAAAGGAATTACTATGTGTGTGGAGGTTAGACTTCAGGGATACCGGTGGGAACAGAGGTTTGGGGTTTTTGGTTTTTTTTTTGAGTGATGAAAATGTAAAATTGATTGTGGTGATAGCTGCACAGTTCTGTGAGCCCAAGAACTGCAGATCATTCAGTAGAATTGCACACTTTAAGTGGGTAAGTTATATGTTATTTGAATTATAGCTCAATAAAGCTGTTAAAAATATTCAATCAAATCACAGTACATGGTTAGTAAATACAGCAAATATGGTATAAATAAATATAATCCTCATAATGTTTTTAGGTCATGATAAGGTAAAAATTATCTTTCCTCAGACGTGCTTAAGTTTAAATCAACGGCAATGTTTAACCATGTTATAAATTAATACTGTTTTAAGAGTAAAAATTGAGCCTCAAGTGGTTGAATCCCAGTCCAGCTTTTGGTGGTGAAAGTAACAATGTATTTATTTATTTTTTTTAAAGATTTATTTTTTAAAAAGATTTTTTTGTTTATTTGTCAGAAAGAGAGAGAGAGAGCACACAAGCAGGGGAAGCAGCAGAGGCAGAGGGAGAAGCAGGCTCCCGGCTGAGCAAGGAGCCCAACATGGGACTCAATCCCAGGATTCTGGGATCATGACCTAAGCTGAAGGCAGACGCTCAATCAACTGAGCCACCCAGGCGTCCCAAAAGATTTATTTATTTGAGAGAGAGAGCGTGCACGCTCACACATGTGCGGGGAGAGGGGCAAAAGGAGAGGGAGAGAGAAAAGCTCAAGCAGACTCGGGGCTGAGTGTGGAACCCCACGCAGGGCTCAATCCCATGCCCCCAAGATCATGACCTGAGTTAAAGCCGAGTCGGATGCTTAACCAACTGGCCACCCAGGCACCCCAAAAGTAACAGTGTATTTAAAGATATGTGTTTATTAATTCATTGAACAGATATTTATTTATTTATTTATTTTTGAAGATTTTATTTATTTGTGAGAGAGAAAGAGAGAGAGACAGCATGAGCACAAGCAGGGGGAGAGGCAGGCAGAGGGAGAAGCAGGAGCCCAATACAGGGCTCCATTCCAGGACCCTGGGTCATGACCTGAGCTGAAGGCAGATGCTTAATTGAGCCACCCGGGCGCCCCTGAACAGATACTTATTGAACATCTGTCATATGCAAGGCATCATGCTAGAATTGAGGTTACAGTGGTGAATAACACACTGCCTCTGCCATCAAAAATTAATTATGCATGTATATGTGCGTTATGGTGTGTGTGTGTGTGTGTGAGAGAGAGAGAGAGAGAGAGTTAACATGCAAGCATGTGAGACAACAGCTCATTTACTCAGTCTTTGGCCACTTATGGGAGTGGACATAGGATGTAGGGTGTACCGGAGCAAACTTGGAGAGAAATTACAACTTCATTCTGCTGGCAGGTTTATGGTTGGATAGTGTCCCATTACATGTGGGACAAGAAAAAGATCTAAGCAAATGGGTGGGAAGGGGTTTACGTGAGGGTCCCTTAAATAATAAGCCACTTTCAAAGAGCCCTATCTGCATAGCCAGTGGTGCCATAAGCACTGGGAGGTCCTTACGCTACTCTTCAGGAGCAAAGTACAATAGGTTTCCTTCTCCTCTACCTTCCCAAATATGGAATGATGCTTAACACATAGCAGTCAATGGAACCAAGACCATATGCAGCTGGAAGACAAGCTAAAACAGAACAATTATGGTATACCAAGTTAAAAATTAATTTGAATACATGATTTTGTTAGCATAATGCAGTCACTAGACTGACTGGGTTTCAATTTCCTGTTAATTGAACTCTTACTCTCTTTGCTTTTGCTCCCCAACGCCCTTTTTTAAATGACTGTGAACCATTTCACTAGCAGTCTCGTAGTCACTAGCAGTTCCATCAGAAAATTGGCAGAAGTTAATAAAAAATTACCAGTTTCATTATCAGTTGAAAGATCTGGCAAAGGCTTTCTTTCTTTTCTTTTTTTTTTTAAAGATTTTATTTATTTATTTGACAGAGAGAACGAGAGAGCACAAACGGGGAACAGTAGAGGGAGAGGGAGAAGCAGGCTCCCTGCTAAGCAGGGAGCCCGATGCGGGGCTCCATCCAAGGACCCTGGGATCATGACCTGAGCCAAAGGCAGACACTTCACCATCTGAGCCACCCAGGAGCCCCTGGCAAAGGCTTTCAATAATGAGTTATGACTATAGTTAAATAACTTTCACTTCTCTAGTGTCTTGTATAGTTTCACCTTTACCCCAATATCTAAAGAGGTTCTGAGTATTAGAAAAAGTGTATATTGTGTGTCATTATATTCCCAAAGCAAATGTAATTTTTCTGTTACTTAATCTGGTGATTATTTTACTTCTTTAAGCCTCAGTTGGAGATATCACTAAATCTCTAATATTTTATAACATAAGTATTATTCAGATATATGATCATTATGTTTTTGATGTTGGATGAAAAGGATTTAGAGATTTCCCCCTGATTTACATTTTCCATACTCTCTTTATTCCTACATTACAATGGAAGCTTGGGAGATAGCTGTTATCAGTTATCAGTTATGCTTCATAACAAACAAGCACAAAATCACAGATGCTTGCAAATGTTTATTACCCACACACCTGGAGTGGTTGGCTAGGTGATTCTGCTGATCTTGGTTAAGCTCATTTATATGCCTAGGGGTAGTACACCGTTAGATAATCTAAAATGGTCTTGGCTAGGACAGTGGGGGTGCTCCATGTGTCTCTCATTTGCTAGCAAGCTAGCATGGGCACATTCTTTTGATGATGATGGCAGATGGTAAAAGCACACGTGGAAATATGCAAGTCCCCACAAGAGATGACTCTCACTTTGATACCAACTATAAATTTCAAGGCTTCCCAAAACCATTCTCAGTTTTGATAGGACTCATAGAACTTACTGAAAGCTATTACACTCATGATTATGGCTTATTAGAGGGAAAGGATACAGATTAAAATCAGCCAAGGAGAGAAGCACGTAAGGTAGAATCTGGAGAAGTACCAAAAATGGAGCTCCCATTGTTCTCTCCCCACACACTTGGGATGCATTACTTTTCCAGCATCAATGAGTGACAATACATACAGGATGTTGCTGACCAGGGAAATTCACTTGAGCATTGGAGTCCAGAGTTCCTACTGGGGCTCCATCATCCAAAGCTCCAATTGTAAATCACATTGTTGGGCTTTCTGGTGTGGACAATCCCTATTCTAAGGCCATTGGGTATGGCCAATCCCCACCCTAACTCACATTGTTAGATTATTCAGTGGGCTCCAAGACCCCCAGGCAAACAAAGATACTCCTATCAGGCGTGAGATTACCTCCCAAAAACCAGGGGGAAAAGCCAAACCTCATTTTGGGCCAGGTAAATTTTTTAAAGACATAAGCGTGAATACAGGAAGTAGGGAAGAATTAGGACTATTAGTGCAACCAATCTAACACAGTAGCTCTATTAAAAGTATTCCTTAAATTGGTATAGGATATCAAACAGTGTTCTTTAACTTTAGGATTGACTTAAGAACTAACATTAACCATAGACTAATTACAGATGCTATAAATAAGCATCCTTCTCTTTACCCCTTGTACACATTAAGATTAGAAATAATCACTCCGGGTGCCTGGGTGGCTCAGTCATTAGGCGCCTGCCTTCAGCTCAGGTCATGGTCCCAGGGTCCTGGGATCGAGCCCCACATCAGGCTCCCCGCTCGGCTGGAAGCCTGCTTCTCCATCTCCCACTCCCTCTGCTTGTGTTCCCTCTCTCGCTGTGTCTCTCTCTGTCAAATAAATAAAATCTTAAAAAAAAAAAAAG